CATCCATCCATCCAGGACAGGTTGCCAGTCTGTTGCAGGTTCTGATTAGTTAAAATTATATATTTTCAGGCCTATAATACTAATCTTTAGCAGATAACTAACTCTGTATCTCCTTCACAGGGAGCCATATTTTTTTTCCAATAACAGGAACGTTTGTAAGAGTTGAATGATAATGAAAGAAGAGGATTTAAACCGGGGTCTTCCAACTTCCAGCAGGAAAATAACTTCAAACATACAGCTGCAATGAACGATCAAATCATGCTTGTGTTTCCGAATGGCCTAGCCAAAGTATAGAAGTAAATCCTGGTGAGAATCTGTAAAAGTGTTCTGGTATGAAGTGGTCTAACTCCTTATAATTACAACATAACACAAGTAAACTCTGGAACAATTATTGATCAGGGCTTCCTAAAAACATGGGCTTGTAAAGCCGTTGATTAGAGTCACCCTCCGGCCTTTTCCACCACGTCCCCTGCGTCTCACTCGTTCTTCAAGGCGGGATCACTAGAAGCGTGAGGCAGGGAAGGGTTTATAAGGGGCAAGGTGGAGCATGCTTATCATTCCTCTGCTCACCTGTGACTCCTGCAGATCATGGACTACCAGCAACAAGTGAAACGCAACACCAGGGGTGAGTATCTAATGCAAAGCAGGCGTAACTCTAAGCTTTTATACTAAGCTGCTGTCAATCTATAATTTTCTTCTGTTTACTTTCCATTAGAATAGTTTTATTGGAATTCATTGAAGTATATTTAAAATTTAGAAAGTTTCTCAATTTTAATTCCCCATCAACATTTAATTAATAAAGCTGAATGGAGGAAGTTAGTTTCTTATTTATTTTTATACATTTTCTTTTATCTGGTGCCGTAGGTGTTTGTGACAGAAGGTAAAACAAGTGTAACAGGGATAACATAGTGATTATGAATGCTGAGGTATTTTACCTTTCCAGTTTAGTGTCATGTACCATTCTTAGATTGACACACTGATTACTGAAAGTTAAACCTGACCTAAATCTGTCAGGCTTTAATAGGGGGTTTATAGGAAATATGTGTAAAAAATATACTTATAGTTTTTTGTCACTTCAGGTTTCTAAAATTGTGGAATCATAACTCATAAAAATTTGTGCCATAAAATAATTTATTTAAAAATATTCACTATACCCCAAACCCCTTAATTTAAATGTTAATTTAAATGCTGTTATTTCTTAAACATTAAGAATTAATTGCATAAATATTTTTACTAAAGAAAATATTCAAATTTTTCAGAAAATAGATCTATAAATCATTCTAGATCCAAATCATAAATGTCTAACAACTTTTCCTCATTAAAAGAAATACAGTTTCCTTTCTATTTGGGTAAATCTTGAACTTTTTTTTGTCTACAGTATTACTGCATCTATTGTTAATAACAATAAAATGTGTGTATGTATATATATATATATATATATATATATATATATATATATATATATTTTTTTTTTTTTTTTTGGCCAGGATAATTTATACTTTACAAGCACTCAAATAACTGCGGCAGAATTTTCTTTTTTTTGTTGGAGGACGCATTCCTGTGTTCTTGCAGAGCATGCATAGGCCTTAATAGAGATTGGCAAAAATAATAAACAAATGAAGCAGAACCACTTAGCATTGTGGCACAGTTAGCTTCTACAGAAACGTACAGAGGTAGCAGTTGGAAATTTCCAAAAGACCTTTGTGATTTCTTTTAGATGTAGGCTGTGTGTTAAAAAGATCCAAACTGGTTCATTGAGACCAGATACAGCAAGACCCATATCATCCATTTTACTTATTTTACATCAGATTTAAATCAGGCAAAGAAAAACAAAAACAAAATGACAAAAAAATATTAGAATAATTACTTACTAGTTACCTTAAGGCTCTATAAGTTCTAAAGTAATTGTTTATTATTAGTTCAAATTTCCATATGGTCAATAAACCTATTCTTTTTTTAAGTCATAGAATATAGAAAATGTGGTGATTAAGGCAAATAATTCAGGCTTCTTACTGAACATAGGTATGAAACTGATCAGTTTTATCAACAAGACTCAAAATACTTTTATTGCATTAATATAATCTAATATATATCAGATGTAAATTATTACACATTATGGTCTGAAATAGAAAACAGAGTAAATGCTGCCATTGCTCCCCTGTATAGAAGTTTGTAAAACACACACACGCCCTTTAACCCATGTGTGCATGTTGATGCTGCTCCTTACTCATGCATGAAGAGCCTAATCCTGCAGAAATTACTTTCCAAGTACTTTGGCAAATAGTTGCTGACAGTTTCTTCATTTTTGTTTCATAAATCTTGCTTATGTAATCCATTTCTACACATTCCCCCCATTCCTGTTTGGTTGCAACTATCCCAGATGTTACGTGGGAAAAAGACTGTGCTTACAAAAAGACTATGTTGTGCAAATCTGTTTTTGTGCAGACTAGATGAAACAAAAAAATACAGTTGGCAGTTCAAGCTGCATCATACTGATGTTAAAAGCTTCAACATTCATTTTCACAGGTAAAGGCAACCTTCGTCTGAGGCTGGTGAACTTTGAACATAAAGAAAACCACATTTCACATGAGACCCAGGGGCTAAGTGAAAACCACCTGGTGGTACGACGTGGAAAACCCTTTAAACTGACTCTGATGTTTGGCGGGGGGACCTGGAACCCTCGCACTGCAAGGCTGCTACTGCTGGTTCGATTAGGTATGTGTGACAGAACCAGGAGAATGGAAATCCCATTACAGCTTACCCTACTTATTAAAAGCACATTTTAAAGACATGTATTTCATTTAGGATAATTGACTTTCCTTTGATTTCAAATTAAAATCAACAATTTTTATAACAAGAAATTCTAAATATTCTAAAAACTTTCATTTCATTAAAGAAATAACATCAGACAGCATTGGACACCCAAAACACTTAAAAACTGCTGAGTTCTTGACTTGATATACTGGGTTAATTTACAGGCGACATGTTTAATTGGATTTAATTTCAATCCTTAATCAATTCAGATTATCAAGGAAACAATGCTGTAATCCACAATTAAGATTTAGTTCACAAACAACAGAATTTTGAAGATATCTATTCTTTTTTGGCCATTTTTTATTTTATTTTAAGAACTCTGCACCTAAATGTGCACCAGCACAGTTCCCTTCCCCCTGTGACATCATTACCCATATATGGTAAGGATAAGCCATTTGTTAATGCTGGGCTCCCCATTTATTTTTTGTAAACTTATCTTCATCGAAGCTCCTTCAAAATCTGGAGGTGTTTTTATATAATTTTTTTATTCATCTACATTTGTTTAGAGGTAAACATAAACTAAGAGACAAAAACATTTTAGGAACATTATGGAAACTAGAACCATAGTTAATTTTCGGTATATTTATTTTTTAACACAAAAAGACTTTTAAATCAGTTTTTTATTTGGTATTTTAAAATGAATTTTATTATTTTATGGTTTCACTTACTGGTTTCTTATAAGAACATCCAGTTACCGCCATTCTCTAATTTCTTCGTCCATCATGCAGACGAGGATAATGTGTTTCAAATTGGAGGCTCTGAAAAATAATAAACCTGCTTTTTGTCTTCAACCAGTGTTCAAACAGCATAAGCCCAGAAAATACCACAAATTTTTTTTGTATAGATTGGGTTGGACCTGGGCTGCTGAGTGGTGCAGTGGGTAGCGCTGCTGCCTTGCATCAACAAGGTTCTGGGTTTGATTCCTGGGGTCTTTCTGCATGCATTTTGCATGTTCTCCCTGTGCATGGGTGGGTTCTCTCCGGGTACTCCGGCTTCCTCCCACAGTCTAAAAATGTGACTTTTAGGTTAATTGACCTCTCTTATTTCTCCTTAAGCGTGATTGGTTGTTATTTTGTTTTATGTGACGGACTGGCGACCTGGCGATACCGCCTCTCTCCCGTAGACAGCATGAGATAGGCACCAGCACCCCTCTCGACCCCGCTTGGGATAAGCATGATGGAGGGGTTAGACTCATACCAGGAATGAAAAACAATTTGTTAAATATAGCTTAGTGCCTTTATTTAAGATTTGAATGAAATGTGATTCAACACATTGTTACAGTGTTTTTCTGTGTGCAGGGAATCTGGCACAGGAGATCCCAGTTTTTTTCTCAGAGGAATGTTCAGACCTCCAGAGATGGTCGGCCGCAGTTCATCCAGGAGAAAGCCGCTCTCAGTCCGTCACCGTCAACATCTGCTCGCCAGTTCTGTCCTCGGTGGGTGTCTATCAGCTCGTGGTCCAAATAGAGACAATGCAGAACAAACAGACATACGCAGTGGGAACCTTTATCCTGCTCTGTAACCCTTGGCATCAAGGTGAGTCTATGTTGTTCTTTTAACTGCAAGCTTTGTTTTTATTTCATTAAATATACTAATTACAACCTCCCATAAATCTTACCTCAGATGATCCGGTATACATGCCAGTGAAAGAGCAGATAGAGGAGTATGTCAAGAGCGATTATGGGTGGGTGTATTTTGGCTCCTCAGCAAATGTTCAGAGTCGGCCCTGGTTATTTGGTCAGGTGGGGAACAAACACAACAGAACCTCTATAAAATAGCAAAATTCATTGATATATATTTAAAGAAAAAATTTTTTTTCTCTTTTTTATTTGCTTTGGTTCTGAGCAGTATGAGTCTGGAGTCCTGGAGGCATGTCTGACACTACTGCAAGTCAGCCCACAGCACCAACGTGACAGCAACAAGGACTACATCTTACGAACAGACCCTGTTTACCTCTCGTTGGTCATCTGTGCCATGGTAGTTGCTAAAGCAAGGACGTGATCAGAAACAATACATAGAATCTGACAGAATCTGTATCTCTTTTTTATAACCAAATATGACCTATGCAGAAATTCCAACAAGTTGCTTTGAAGCTTTACAGTAAGTAAGGTAATGTGTGTCTTCCTGTCAAAGATCAACTCCAAAGATGATCAGGGAATTCTGCTTGGAAAGTGGGACAATGACTACAGTGATGGTGTCAAGCCAACTGATTGGACCGGCAGTGCTGATATCCTCCAGCAATGGCTTTCATCCAAATTCAAACCTGTGCGCTACGGGCAGTGCTGGGTCTTTGCATCAGTCCTCTGCACAGGTACTTCTGGAATCATCACTATCAGTTTCCTGAAATCAGAACATTTCTTGTCAGCCTTGTAGCGGAAGGCTTCTTGAAAAAAGGGAAAATACCATCAAGGCATCATTAGATGTGTCTATGCTGACAAGATCAGGAACCAGAGGAGGCATCCTGATCAAATGCCTGCATCCACATAACTGTCTGAAGCCCTGAGTCTGCTTTAATTTCCTCAGAATGATGAAGCTCCTCACCTTAAGGTCAAGGGTGTGTTTACACTGAGCACTAACAGAACAAATGGAGTGAGGGGTTTACATGGTATCCTTATGTAAAGCCATAATCAAGAGAGAATTAAGAGTTGGTGTTGCAAAGGATGTTTTACGAGCAATGTGAATGGTGCAAACTGGGTGAATATGGCGAACCGCCATTTTGCTGTTGTTCAACTATTTGAGTCACATAAACCTATCAGGGAAAGGATTTGGGTGTGATGTCCCATAAAGGAGCACATCAGAGAAAAAAATGATTTCAAAAACCCGCCAGCATCTCTGAAAGATCCTGTTTGGCTTTTCACATTAACTACGTACATTCCAGTGACTTGCCCAGTAAAATCAAGGTTGAGCTGAACAGACAAGAAGAATTGGACAGAGGCTCTTCCTGTTCTATGACATGCTGAAGTGAGCTGGGCAAAATATCGCTGATGGTGTGTTTGCCTAAACGCAAACACGAAAATTAGATTTGTTTGTATTTGATGTGAACGCACCTTCAGCCAAAGCTGCCCGAAGCTGAAAGCATTTGGGATCTTGATTACAGAATGTTGAGGATCCAGACAGAGCTGCAAATGGAGACCTTTGCTTAATGGTTTGATTTTGTCTCCAGTACATCATACTGTAGGAATGAATAATCTACTTCTACCTCTACACAAAGATACCGACTTCAATGTTTTCAAAAAGAAGCAAAACTAGACCCCCAAGTGTCGCCCATCCCAACTATTTTAAACTTATATATATTGTGGCAAGCATTTTCCAGAGCTACTAAAACCTATGTGGGTGGAACACAGCATTTCTATAAAAGTAAAGAACTGGTCACTTTCCAGCTGTAAGACTGAGAATTGATTGATTGACTTAATTGGGGCAAACAGTGGCGTTGGGTGTAGGAGTTTACCCTGAAATCAATGGGTTGATGGTTCAAGCCCTGGCTCAGGCTTTCAGTGTTGGGTACTTGAGCAAGACACTTCACCTGCATTTTCTTTTGATGGTGGTCAGAGGGCCCGGTGCTGCCGGTGTACTATGGCAGCCTCGCTTCTGTCAGTGAGCCCCAAGCAGCTGTGGCAACAATGTTTCCCACAGTGAGTGTGTGTGTGTGAATGACTGAATGTAGTGTAAAGTGCTTTGGTCAAAACTCCTGACTTGGAAAAGCACTATATAGGTACAGGCCATTTAATTTATCTCACAGTGGCGAAATGGTGATCCTCTCAATGACTGGGTTAATCTTTTACAACCATAATTTATAAAACTGGGGAACAATTCTTCTTTTGTGTTAAATGCAAAATATTTTGTTATATTCTAGTGAAATCAGAGCCACAAAACATTTTTTTTTTTTTTTTACAGTTATGAGAGTTCTTGGGATTCCCTCCAGGGTGGTGACAGTTTTCGATGCAGCCCATGACACTAATGCCAACACCACCATTGAGGAATACTACACAACCACTGGGGAGAAACTTGGCTGGTCTAGGGACAGCATTTGGTAGGTGTACCCTTAGAAATCACAAAGGTAAGATAGGGTTGTTGATTTTTCTTGAATCACAGCTATATTTTGTTGTTGCACAATGTGAAGAGAATTTGCTTTAAACACTGCATGCAATTTTATGTTTTAGAGTGTGCACACATGTGTTTATCTACAGGAACTTCCATGTCTGGGTGGAGTGCTGGATGAGGAGATCAGACCTCAGTCCAGGGTTCGATGGTTGGCAGGTGGTGGATCCAACACCCCAAGAGCTGAGTAGAGGTAGAGTGGTTCTAAGGTTATTTTTTTGGTTCGATCTTGATACATGTTTCCTAAATGCTCCCAAAAACAAGTTACAGTAGCAACCATTCAAAATGGCCCTTCACAGTCAAACGCCAGCCGAATGGCAGCCCACTTCCCTCCAAATTAAAGCCTCTGGAGTGACACCCTCTTACAGTACATATTGTTTTACTCTGACTCCACCGTTTCACTGAATTACAGGGTCTGACCAGGAGATGCTGCTTCTCTTTAGATCTTAATGTCCTCAAATCATGACAGAAAGAATATTTCAGTAAAAAGATTTATGTTTAAAAGGAATTATAGGGGACCAGCCAAGGCCCTGTCAAAAAAAGTGGGGAAATTTTGAATGGCTACTGCTGTTACTGGATTTACCTTAAATAGTATGGCATGCCTCTTGGGAAAACACTTCTATCAGTGGGGTCAAAGGGAAGACTTAAAACTGTAAAATGTTGTGATCTGGTCTCATAGGGGTTTACCGCTGCGGCCCCTGCCCGGTTGCTGCCATCCGGGAACGCTGCCTCCTAGTGCCATATGACACTCCCTTCCTCTACGCCTCTGTCGATGGGGACGTGCATCGTGTGATTGTGGATAATGGACATGTGGTTGGAGAAACATTGGACTCTAAGGCCGTGGGACGGCTTATATGCACGAAAAGCGTAGGATCGAGCTGTCTAAGCAATCTGACACATTCTTATAAGGGCTTGAAAAGTAAGAAAGCTTTAATCACGCTTTTTAGTTTTTGCTTTGCAAAAAATGTAGCTGTGACAGAAATAAATCGAAATGAAAGGCTTACTGTGTTTTTCTCTTCATCCATTTGAAAAAACACTTTTTCTTTCTTTTTCTTTTTGCAGAAGTGTATAGGCATGATCTACGAGGTATTAAAACCAATATGTTTTTCTCACAAAAGGAATCGTAATTTATTAAGGCCTAACAAGCATTAATTTAAATTGACAATTTGAATGTCTTTGTTTTCATCTTCTGCTTTTGCATTGTGCAAAATCTCCTCATCCTCATCTGCAGACAAAATGGGTAGGATAATATTTATTAACTTTCCAACTAAGCCTTCTGTCTAAAGTGTTTATAAAATCAAACCTACAGCTATTTTCTTAAACTGGCTGCATTGACATTTTGTTGTTAATCAAGTTATTGATTAATTAAGTTAAACGAGTCACAACCTGTTATTTTAGATATAACATTCTTCTGAAAATGTCTTAAATGAAAAGAACATTAGAGAGATCAGACATGCAGAAAAAAAACAACTTTTGATGATCTTTTCCTTTTCGGCTTTTGAATTTTACTTGGTAATCAATAATTTGTCTTTGTCTGAATCTGCATTATTAAGCTCAAACTCTTTGAACTTCTCTTTCCAGAATGCAGGACTTCCTCCCAGTTTTCTTCAGATGTTCATGTTGGTAAGAATCTAGAAATACAATCATGCCACTCATACTGTAAAATACCTACACTGGTTATAATATTTCCCAGGAAATTTGTATTGAGTGTTTTTCATTTGAAAAAACTACTGTCTCTTTGAAGTTTAATAATTTAGATATCAAAAAAGTGTGACCTTTGGTATCGCTCCAAGTTAAAAACATTAGATTTAATTCCTTGAAGTTATAAAAAACTTTTCATGAATCATTTTAATACAGTTTAATAGTTTTTTCTCTTGAGATTTTGCATTCAGAGGGTTTCTCTGAGTTATTAAATGCATCAAAACCAAGAACAGACATTTGGCCTTTTAATACATGAACAGACATCATCTAGCTTTGATACTCCAGCATTGCATTCACTAAAAATCTGCTTTGCTTCAATGCATAAATTGGTGTAATCCTCTAATTTCCAAAATGTCTGTTGGAGTCAAAAAAGAAAATTGGGAAAGAATTGGGAAAGAATCCCCATCAGCCGGTCAGTCTCCTAAACTGAAAAGGTGTTTTTTTTTTGTTTTTTTTTAGTGTCAATAAACATCAATTCCTAAGCTTCAGAAATATTATGGTGATGTATCTAATTGTCATTAAGCTAATAAGCATGGCTAAAGTGGTGCTGGACTAAAGACCTCTGGTGTTTTAGTCTGTTATATTTAAAATTGTAATCCTCTCTTTGATAAAAGAAAATGAAACCTAACTGAAGGTGTAAATGCCTTACTTTCTACTTTACATGACTTTATTCTACTCCATCTTTGCAGCAGCTCAATAATAATTATAATAATAAATCATTATAATAATAATTATACATTTTATTTATTATTACTTTACATTTCAATTAAATGTCAAAGTGCTACAGTAACAGAGGGGTAAAAAAAAGCCCCTAGGTTATAAGAAAAAACAACAAATAATGAAAGCAAAGAAAAAATGAATAGAAGAAAAGAAAAGTTTTTTTTTTAAAGTTCATCAACTATGTACATCAGAGTTCCAATAGACACGTCTTAAGCCTTGGGTAAAAATGTTAATACATACAAAGTTTGAATTACTCTGCTTTTAAATTTGACGTACTATTCTTTTCTTATATAATAATACTGTTGATCTGATAAATGCATCATATGCTTGCCTAGTTAATATCTGGGCTTTCTGTAGAGACTTTTCTTGATAGTAATACCTTTTTTTTTTTTTTTTTTTTTTTTTTACATTCCTCTGCAAAATCCTATGAAGAAAAGAAGCCTGTTTTACTTTTATCTGTCAGGTTTTGTTGTCTTACTTTTAAAAGAGATGCTGGCTATGGCATCTGCAGGGATCTAATCTCTTTTTAATCCCTTTCCCCCCCCTTTTTTTTTTACAGTATCGTCGTCGCCCCAAATCACTGAATGTGGCCTTACTGCAGGTGATATGATTGACAAAACTTCAGTAACTCATACTGTTAACAAACACTAGAATGTAACTACATTAGAATGTTTACCAATACAATCTACTCAGAGTCAAAAAGCTTTGGCCTTTAACTTTAAATTTTTATTTTATTCAAACAAATCTAAGTTAATAGGGGAGAGGAGGGTCAGTATGTATGCAGCATATAAATGTTACATGTTTAAAATTATAAATTACATTGATAATCCATGTTAAATAAATATCTTATTAAACAATTCTGAAGGCATGAACAATCCATTTTAAAGAATAAGTTTTTTTACAGAACCCAGGTTGACTTGCTCTGCCTTTGCTGCAGACGATCATAGAGGTAAGCGAAGATCTATTTAGCAAACTGTAATATGTGTTTACTTAAAACTGGATAAGGGCTGAATAACTTTATGAAAACATACAATACTGTTGGTGTATGACCAGATAAAGAAGCGGTGTCAATATGTTTTTATTGTCATCACTTGATCTCTAATAATCAATATTCTATCCTGCTTTTAGTGAAAAAAAAGTATTATTTTCATCTG